ATCCAGCCAATCAGTGAATTGCTTGTGCTTTAAACAGCAGCAAAGGAATATCTAAGTGGTGCAGAATTGCAAAAACCCCAGACCAGCACAATCAATCATGTCATGAGGCAATGTGCAAGACTCACTCACAGGATTTGACCCAGTTGAAGGTATTTATAAACATGCAAGGCTTGCCTCAGCAATGTCCTCCTGCCCATGTGCCCAGCCAAAGTCCGGCCTAGGATAGATTCAAAAAGTGAAAAACACCTACTCCGCAAAATGCCATTAATATGTGCAATGATGAATTCTGAAATCATTTAAGACATGCGCCCAGGACATGACACTGCACAATGCAAGCAGCATTTGGTGAACTGACATGTACTCTAATGGCGTGATGATTGAGATGTCCAGAGATTGCTCTGAGATTGCAACAGTCAAAGCAAAACCAGTCAAGGTGTGAGCCTCAGGAAGCGAGCATGGGATCAAAGGGCAAGGGGCAGGCTCACTGATTGGTGTTCCTGGAAAACGAACACATGACATTTTATGCAAACCACCTAAGAACTACTAATTAATGGGAAAAGCAGCAGTCTGCCTGGAATCAATGTGGCTATTGAGAAACAGGATCCGATTCAATTGCTTTTTATAATTCACTGGTCGAGTTGTGCCTATTTGAGGCGGTCAAACGTCTATAATGATGTCTGTCCGGCCCAAACAATTGAACAACTTGGCACTGCCCTGAGCACATTCAAACTTAAAAGTTGGTCCGACATGATCATGCATTGCTGCCCGCCCAAAGCCCTACCTACCAAAGTGAACGCCCTCAGTTGGTCTCGTCATGAGCTCCGCCCCGATTCCACCTGTTGAACAAGAAAGCCCTGCCGCTCATAACCTTCAATCGCTTGGAGATGAAGTCCGGCATAAGTGAAAATGACGTGCTCACCTTGGTCGCAGAACTAAAACAGTCGACAGGGTCATCATCGAAATCTTTTTAGTAACTAATTTAATTGACTGACTAGTTACATTTTATGGGGACCAAACTCAACTCATCATGAACTGAACACAATAAGATTTAATAATAGGTCATCATTTAGTTTTGAATGGATAGAGCAATGAATAATAGATAGGTTTTCAAGTTCTGACTGACTAACGTGACTAGATGAGATCCAAAGAAAACTGTGCTAATTGATATTAACCAAAGAAACCACCGCCGAACGGGTTGGGCGCAGTCCGAAAAATCTCATTGGTTTGCCCGGCCCCTGTAAACATGTGCATGGCACCAAACACCCGACCACGGTACGGCACGATGACCATCTGATGTGGGGCCGACAAATAGGCACGCTGACAATAAGCAGCAAGCTCGGCCGTTGTGCCTTCCCGACCAAGTTGTCGCTGCTGTCCCCGAAAGTTGCACGTCCAAAGTACGACCTGCGCGAGGTTCCGCGACAGCAGCCTTTGGTTGGCAATCCTCAGATTCAGCTATAATAAGTTATAACAGATCTACCCAGTTAAAACCTTAGGGCAAATAATGACTAGCAATCTGCAATCAAGGACATCTTTGCTAACTGCCAACAAGCAGCCTGAGCAAAGGGTGAGTGTTCACCTGGTCCGACCTGATGGTGAAGTGCTCGTAGCTGAACTGCCTGACATCATGATCACTGCGCCTGTTAATTATTTGAGTTCACCACATCGTGCATTCATATTATGAGTTCACCACATCAAATTGCAGGAGAGGCGCCGGTTGTGGATCTCGTCCACCCCTGGAAAGTCCGACGATAAGCGCTCCAAAAGGCGCAAGCACCTGATGTGTGGAAGCGGAAAACTTACTTAACTAACTGGAAGATCTGGTTCAATGCTGTCAGCCAACTAAGATATTTCAAAACTAAAACGTCTGCATCAGTAAACCAATCCAAATTACAGGTCCGGCTGGGACAGCAAATGATTGCACTGCCCCTCACTCAAGTCCAGCCGGCATCTGATGAAGTACGCCCTTAAGACCTCCGAGGTCAACTCCAGTAATGGCGGCCCACTCTGAATGTCCGGCAAGGGCGCGACACCACAATGAACGACCGGCGCAGCAATGGGAGACCGACTGACACTCATGGCTACAGCAAGTTCCCGACCGAGAGATTAGTCCGACCAGTGTAGTAGTTAAACAGTGACGGTTAGCCGCTACTACAATTCTTAGCACCAAATTTGTGTTTTTGAATTTGCGCTTAAATTGATTCATGGAGAACTGTGGACTCCCATTGCTTTGTAAAAATTTGTGTGACCGACCGAACCTGCAAAGTAATTCTTTTGAAAGACCGACCGAACCTGCAAAGTCGTTGATTTTAGGTAGCAAGTTGAGTATTATTCCACAAACTGTCGACTGTTGAGTCTACGTCACGTGCACAAAATGATTGATTCACATCCAACTTGATTCTTGATGCTGAAATCTATCCACATGAATGTGACATGTGCGTTCCATGTCATACACAGCATGAAACAAGCGTCACTGCTTGACAATACAGTTGGCAAGGCCCTATGAAAAAGTGTTGAAGACTTGTTACTACAAGGAATGAACTTTCATTTCAGCCTTCGCTAAATCAGTCAATTACAAATCTGAACTAGTACTACAGTACTATGAGTGTTGCAGTGGGCTCTGAATTGTTGATCCCTGCAAGCCAAACAACAACCTCTAGTATTACCTTATGTAATGCTATCAGCGTTCAAATAATATACTGTTTTTCCAATTCACTACTGAAAAAGACCTTGGCAAAGCTCTGAGTCGTTCGGGCTGAGTCCCGGGCATATTGTTCGGAAGCTGGTTCGCAGGCAATGAGCCAAATCAAGCAATTCCCTCTCAAGCATTGGTTAAAATAATGAATTGTCCGGCCGAGGTGGTAAGTTATAATAAACGTGTCCGGCGCCAACAGCTATACAAACAAACAAATGTAGGTATCTTGGGTTAAACTTGGGCAATCCCAGGTGTCAAAGGTTAGTGGAAACACTTTTGCACCTTTGAAGCATTTTTAAGATTAACCACTGCCTGCAGCAGAATACACCCCTTTTGACTGACAGTTCTTTCTCTTAGATGGCAAAAAGCTACATAGATACAGTAGTAGAGATAAAGTGGCAAGCCACGGCATGTCATTGTTACAATTGTATGATTAATTAGGTGGGCTAATTAAATTCAGCGTTTCTGTGATTTGGAGGAGTTATAGCCCTACTTAAAGCATCTCAGCAGTTTGCTTAAAATCACCAGAGTGTAGCTTCCCCACGCTGCACTGCACCAGGAATGCGGTGCAGTGCATCGCCACAGTTTAACTGTGCCTGTGTGTTTCACACATTAGATGAGGGAAGCCAAGCTCATGTCAATGTAGGGGACGAAGGGTCGGATACACGGCGCTATTATGGAAACATCCAGCTGCCGCCCCCCAGTGTCCCCCTTATTAAAAAAATATGCAGGTGAACGGACTCAACATGCCAAAGGAATCACCTTCCATGCTCACTTTAGTCAGCCCAATGCTCCCATACTGGTCCTATTGGCATTTGTTGGAAAACAGTTTTGATTGCAACTTACATGCACTTACACACTCACTTGTGTTTGGCTAACTTTTGACTATGCATACTTCTTGATGAAAATCCTACCCCTTCCCTCATCCTACCTCTTCCCTGCTAATCGTGCCCTCTGAAGTTTGGGTGGCATTCACGGGTATGTTTTAAAATTGCACTATTGACATCCACTGGACATCAGGAAATCGTTGACAGTCGGTGCTGTCCAGCCCAAATCCATCGTGTTGTCCAGAACCGTCCATGTATGGTATGGTTTCAGGGGCCAATCCCTGATAATCCAAGTACCTTCTCATGTACGGTGATTGGAGACACTGTAGGCGCCAGGAGGGTCCAGTCGTACCTTCTGAGAAGGTACGACTGGATCCTTAGGGAATGTATGGATTCCATGGATTATCATGGACCAGGACCTTCCAACAGCTAGGTGGTTTTAGAAGCCGACCAGATCGGTGGTGAACCGCACCGGACGAACGTCACCAGGAAACACGAAGGTCGGATCCGGGGAGTCGTCCCGAAGCAACAAGGACCACGGACAGGGAAAAGATGTTTAATGTTTTCTTGCCCTAGGGATCCACATACCTTCTCAGAAGGTAATTGGACCCTCAAAGCCTACATAAATAGTCTCCAATCACCTTCTGAGAAGGTACTTCGATCCCTAGGGCAAGAAAGAAGCGTGGCATTTGTTCCTAGTAGCTTCTTGTTACTACTAGTAAGGCACCTGTTACTACTAGCGTGGCACCTGTTACTACTTGTTACATTCATGAACTCCATTTAAGACCCAATGTAGAATGTAGGTAGCTATTCCATACATGGATAGCCAAAAATTGTAGGATGCCAACCCGTTTCCGCTGCGATCGTGTCAAGATCTGCAGCCTTCCACAAGCACATCCGTTCTCTTCAGGGAACCTACCGTACGACGTTCTCCGTTCTCTCCATCCACCACGGCTCTCTCCGTTCGCCCGGCGCGCGCACCGTACCGTCCCTCCGTTCGCCCGCCGCACGGACCACGAGGGACATCGAAGGTCCGAAGGTTGATGAGGCGACGAGACGATGGAACGCGTTCGAGTGGGGTTCAAGAACTCGGACCAATTCGAAAGAAGCAGCTACCTGGAGTCGACCTGTGAAGTACCTCCTAAAATGGGTATAGCTATATAGGTATACCACAAATAGATTTAAACAAATGCTGGGTCCCATGTCGGGTTTCTGCTCCCAGAAAATCGTGTCTTTCCATATGCCTCTGGGGTCTCAAAGTACTCCTCAGAAGGTACGACTGGACCCTTCAAAGCTACGTACATAACAGTGTTTCCAATCACATTCTGAGAAGGTACTTGGATCCCTAGGGCTTATAATGCCTCACCGTTCTTTTTTGTTCGGGTCATGTCACATGATCGAAGCATCTCGAAGCTGGCCGTCGGGTCTTATGGGGGAACCTTCGCCCCCCAAGAACTCCGCCACTCCACCGGGCGCACCATGGCACACGTCCATCACCAGCTGCTCAATCTGACATCGCTGCTCGTTCGCTGCGAACGTCCATTCGGCCACGGTCCGCCGCCGGACGTCACATCCGATGGGTGTCCAATGAGATGCCTATATGTAGTGTAGGCAAGTGTAGGGTACAGTAGTCCATTAGACACCGGAGGGTCCTGGTAGTAACATACTTCTCTCTACTTTGATAGGTGCCCTCAAAAACTCCTTACCATCGAAAGGTGCTAAAGCTTCAGCAGATTGGAGACTACCAGCAAACAACCCACAGGTCAAAGATCCCATTTTATCCCATTTTGCTGGTGTTGGTCATACAAACACTACTCAGTAAGGCAACGGACCAGGTTTAGTGGCTCAGACTGGGCCTGTAGGGTATATACACAGACTTCCCATTCTCCACACCCTGCACCAGTTTTGCAAACAACCCTCTTCACAACCTACCAGGACCCTCCTGTCGGGGTGTCTATTTATAGCCCCAAACAGCTGTGATTCGGGGTGTCCATGGTCCCCACCCAACTCCTGTGGGTGCTGGTATATAGTCTCTCATCTCCACCAACAAGGCGAAAAGCCCGCCAGACCGCACATCCAGCGTCATCGGCGCGAGCACCGGATGTGTCTGAAAATACGGAGACCGACACCCTGCCACTACCGCCTGCGGTTCGCTTCGCCGTCAAACCATCGGGCGAAAAAAGGGGGTCGACGGTCGACGTGTGACTTCCACCACACACCACTGGTGGAGCATCCAGGACCTCACTGAGCGTCCTGGCTGGAGTCCAGGACACCCAGGTGCAGGATGCTCCAGGTACGAGGGTCCCGGCAGGTCATTCGTGTGACTTCAGGAACCACAAGAAAGAAACCACCACAGAGGTTGAAGAGCCCTAGGTCAACTATCCCAGTGGCCCAGTGGGGTCCTTTTTTAGGTCACTTAACTGACTTAACCTCTCTTGGACTGCCTCTCCTCTCCCCTCCCCTCCCATCCGCCACGATGACTCAACATCGCTGTCACCTCCGCCAGCAAGCGCCCGCGATAGCGCGTCAGGCGGTCTGCCCTTTCACAGCTGCCTGGGTCCGAGCAAAGGGTTCTTGGTTGAAGAGATCTGTCCAGGAAAGCCGTCTGCGAAGGGGAAAGCCGTATTTCAAAAAAGTCATGTGAGTGAGGTGCCCCAGTGGATCCAGAAAAACCATATTGTACATGTCGACCCATGATGAAAGCACCTCGGAAAATGGGACATCACCGACATCACCCCATTCAAACAGGTACTTCCAATTTTAGGGGCAGTTTGAGGGCCCAGGTAGAGGTATAACTAGTGGTTCCACTTCGACTAAATGTGTAGACATGTAGATGTTCCCTTAAACCAATCCATTGAAAAGTCGTTGGGGCTTTGCAGAACAAGAGTCTTTGGGTTGGCTTTCCACCAGCACCAGGCAGATTGCTCGAAGAGAGTGAAGCCGTAGCCCGAACTTGACATGTGTAATTGTTTAAAGAATCCTTGGACCCTCCGTGACTGGGGTCTGGACCCGAACCAAACTCTTTCCACTTGTGCTCTGATTGTTAGGGTTGGCCAAAATTCATGAACTTGCTTGTACCCAAACCATCCACGGGACTGGAATAGTTACCTAGCTTGGGGCCGATGGAGTAGGTGTACTGTTCCAGACATGGATGGTCTGGGATAGTTCAACCCTTCCAAACACTAAATAGGGCTCAGCATCCACCCTAAAGAGGGCTGTAGACATGAATCAATACCCCACAAGTCCAGTCTGACCAAGTCCGTTGCTTTTGTATGACCAACGAACCGATGAATTCTCTCCAAAATGACCATATAGCACGTGCAATTCCCATAATTAGTTGGCACGTGCACTACCCAAACGCTCCATGGGACTGGTATATTTGCCGATCAGTTGGGATGGTGCCAGGGGGGCCATTCTGGGGCGGCATATGGCAGTCTCATGGGTCGTGTCTGGGTATACTGGGACAACATATCAAGAGAGGTTGAACAGCCCTTTGTCGCCCATCCCATACCCAGACACGACCCATGGGACTGCCATATATGCCGCCCCATTGACCCCCCAAACCACCACCACCCCTGGCCTGATGGGCAGTCTGACCCCCCAAACCACCACCCCAACTGATCGGCATATATAGCAGTCCCATAGGTCGTGTCTGGGATATGTACCACTCTACAGGGTCCTGTCTGGGCTATAATTACTTCCAACTGCGACCTTCGCGTCGTCGCCACGAAACGCAGCAGAACGCGTCGTCGAACGCGATTCGTCGCGTCGTCCGCTTGCTCTTGGAAGGAAGGAACGAACTCGATGGAACCAATGCTCCATGGCCCGAAGCAAACCATGAAAAAACAAAGGGTTTTGGAGTTGTGACATACAAGACCAGGGAACTGTTGCTTGGGAAAACTAGGTTTTTTATTGTTTGTGGGGCCCCTGGAACTCGACATGGCAGTGGGTCAAAACATGGGGACCCTGGTTGACCGCCGAAAATACGGTTTGGAGCTAGAGGCACTGCCATATCTGCCATTGCCTACATTGGGATGGTTGGGGGTGTCAACGGAGCACCATGTATATTTATTCCAGTGGCAAACATGTCGTGTCTGGGACCTGGGACATACACCTATCCCATACGTTCCATGGGACTGGAATATATGCCTACATTGCACCCCCCAAACTACCCCAACTGATCGGCATATATTCCAGTCCCATGGAGTGTATGGGCATTGCATCCATTTCACCCCTGCCTTTGTTTGGGCCCCGCTCTGAACCACGTCCCGTCCCGCCTTCGGAGGGGGACCAGTAGTGCTGTGCGAACTCCACGAGGAAGGCCTCGGCGGCGTCGCGGTTGGTCCGCGGCTCACCGGCTCTCGGTTCGTTCGTTGGGGACGGTGAGACCATGGCAGTGAGGGCCCTGGCAACGGTCAATGTACCTGGAGTCGACCTGTTCGTACCTTTAAAAAAGGGTACTTTGGTACCTGTTTTGGTGTATTTAAGGGTCATGTCCCATTTTCAAAGGCATAAAGGACCGAGGGTCCAAGAGAAGAGAGGCATAATTTTGGGACACACATGTGTTGTACTAGTTGAAGTTTCATAATCAACGCCTTTCCATCTACAATTCCTCGAAGTTGATGGTACCGTAGACACTGCCTTGGAAGTTGATATCTCGATCAGAAAAAGAATCAGAGGCACTATATGAGTACTCTAAACATCTTCAATTCAAACAGGTGTGTATTCCGAGAGGGAGATACTCAGCCAATGGGTTTTGCTCTATGGTCCTTCTTCCAGGAGTCTTTTTGAGGTCTCCCTATTTTAATACAAGTTAATACAAACATATGCAAAAAGAATCATGAACACCACAAACATCATCTTCCAGGTCTGGGAGATGGCCTTTCTTCCTCAAGTGGCGCACGGTGCATCGAACTATGTGTCCAGTTCTGTTTTGACTAATGAAGTGTCCTTCCAACATACCAGCCCTGGTGCCCTGGGTTACAAGAAGTCTCTCTGCGTATTGTTGAAAGACATCCCGCGTCACAAAATAAAAACTGTCGCAGCGTCCAAGTCACGGGTCTTTGCACCCCGCGCTTCAGTAAAAACACAAGTCTGGTACTTCACCAGAACCTTCAGAATCTGGACACCAAAACGCTCCAACACCAATTTTCACATGGAACCATGTTTCCGAGTCCTTTTCCGAACATAAACGTGAACCATGTTCTGTAGTGGGAAAACCTATCACCCCAAAAGGTACTTCAGGTGATCTGCTTTTCCTGGCGAGGCCCTTGTTCACCTGTATTTCTCCCGAGACAGGGGATAGGTTTTCCATAGCAAAACATCACGACCAACAAGACTCGGCCTTACATCGCTGCTGTCCTCCACTCATCCGAGTGCCTCCTGCTCTTGCTCGCTCAGCGCGATCAGCCGCAAAGGTGAGCGGCTGCGGGACAGGCGTTCCCGCCTGCATTTTGAAGAGAAACGCAACCAATGCACTCACAGTAGGACACGGTTGCCCTAGGCTTCAAAAAACTATGATTGATTAATCTCAAGGGCTCCAACCACATCCTCAAAAGGTGGTTGAGGTGGGTTTGGGGGGTCTAACCACCTTCTGAAAAAACCCTGAGGATATGGTTGGAGCCCTATTGAATTAATGGTTTGACTCCCACACTACAGGAGCAGATCATCCTTTCTTTTGCAGTAATGGTCTTGGATGGATAGGGGTTGGTTGTAGACAAAGAAAACTGCCACTGTACCAGGAAGCAGGATGTGTATGAGTCGGATGCCAATGGAACAGCTGGTCGCCTACATTGGGAATGTCGTGAAGGGCATGTAGTAAAAGGGGACTCACTTTTCTATATCACTCCATGTACGGAACAAATGCCTACATTGACCCCAGGTCAACCACCCCAAAGTATGCGGTCCTATGGCATACATCGAGTGGCTGGGTATGAGTTTAGCTTCAATTTGACATCACGCATACTTTGGTGGTGGTGATTCAAAAACCGGGACACTAAGGTCTTTTAGTGAACTACCACGCTGTCTGCACCAATGTGTCCGCTATTATTATCCTGCAACAAAGGCAACTGAGAGGTTCTGAACGTGACAGGAAGTCCACAGGGTGTGAAAAGGGAGAGAGTCTTTGGATCAAGCTTGCTGAAAATCCACCAATGTCTTTGTTGGCGTGTCATCTAAAATCCATTCGGGAAACTCTACGAATCGGATGTTCCACCACTACCACCGCGACCCGTGGAACAGCCTGCTTCCCTATATTCCCTACAGGTCATTGACCTCGTTGTACTGAACGGGGTCATAATGAACGGGGTCAACACTACTTATAAGGATGAAAACGACCAGGCTTTTTGGGTCTTTGGACTTGTAGGACCCAATTTTCAGCGCTTGCGCGGTCGTGTTTGGCACGCGTGTGCCACGCGTGTTCCCACGCGTACGCCACCCCCGGCCGCCACTGGGTCCCAGCACATTATCCTTCTTCCACGGCTCCCAGGACGAGCAAAGTGTCCGGCCTTGCGAGGTTTCCGAATTGAGAACCGGTACCACTTTGTGCCACGGACATGCCTTGCGGGGTCAAGGTAGGCATCAGGGTAAACTTTGTACGTTCTTTAAGGTTTGAGCATCAACATGTGGGTGTTGATTAAAAGCATCAGGGAAGCTTCATATTTTAATGTGCAACATTGCTGGTGAAGGGAGACCACTCCCATCAACATGTGGGTGTTGATTGCTCAAACAGGGAGACCACTCCCAGGTAGCGACCCCAGGAAGATGGACAAGTTCGACCAAAAACCCATAAACCACCAGGGAGTTCAGAGTCTCCCGGGCTTAAGAGACCCACATGGAAGCTGATGGACCTGAGGGGAAGACGATGTTCCACTACTTACACCACTTTTTTCCACTTTGCGTATGCCATCGACTATTGTCTGTAGCTGCAGCATTGAATTATGAATTATCGTGCGTCATGGCCTCCGAGCATAATCTGCTCCCATTTCGGCATCATCGTTGAATTCAGCGACCAGGGAATCAACGACAGTAGAAAACCATTCAGGAATGGGTTCAGATCGCTCTGGCCCGAGGAGACTCTCGGAAATGATTTCTGCAAGTGTGTCGCACATTAAAGGCGGGTACTCTTTGAGCACTGCTGTCCGAAACTTGCGCTCATGGTCACGTCCTATCACTCCTCTGGTGGGAAGTTTTGTGGTTCGCGACTGTAGCAGAATCTCTTCACACTTCTCAGTGACATGAACCATCATGAAAAACGTTGGCTTCACAGCAGGTGATCCAAAGTGTCCTTGTAGGACACGGTGGACTCGGCATTGTGGGAACAGCATAAGAGTTCTCAATAAGGCTGTACGCCAAATTGACACAAGAAATTGATCGTTCTCATCTTCTGCAGGATGTTCCAAAATGCCTACTGCTCCGGTGACAAGAGCCACCACAAACATCTTCAGCGCCACGCCCAACAGGCGGTTTCCGAAGGTGGTCTGCTGGTCTTCGGCAGCTGTTAAGTCGGTCTTTCCCCACGGTGCCGCTAAGGTCCTGACCACTCGGGGTCCTCGGGACCCGTCCTCAAGCTCTACATTGCGAGCTTTGCTCCAGGTTTCGCAGGGGGGTCCCCCCAGGAAACCTGAGAGGACCCCCTGCTCCATGGCTCGGCAAAAAAGCAAGAAGGTTTCTGGTCGACACAAATCACCCAGGGTGGCGTGAAATATAATGTCTATGGATATGGCTTTGATGTTTCGCCTCTCCAAGCAGGACTGCAAGTCGCCTGGCCTTCGACGTCCTGAAAAAAGATGAGCGAACATCTTTGGTCTGTACATCGGTTGTCGAGTCACGTGAAAGGCAAACGGCTGCATGCAGATGTGTTGCCATCTTCTCAAACCATTGCTTGCCTCTTCTTCATTCAGCAGCCATTCGAAATCAAACCTTTCCTGAAACTGATGTAGTGCTGGTAGCAAGTATAGCGGAAAGTCAAGCTGTTCCAAGACACCGCTTTGCAACCACTCTTGAAATATGTCGATGATCTCTGACGGAGTCAGGTAGGTTTGGCATGCAGTCGTCTTGAGCTTCTCAATCAATGCTTGCTGCTGCAAATGTGGGGTGGTGCAATCCTGCTTCCAACCTTCCTGAAGTTTAACTCTTTCTTTGTTGACATGTGGGTCTCCTGTCCAGGATGCTTTTGTCTCTTCCCGAGGGCCTTCTGCTTGGTAGAACGGACGATGAACATTTTGTTCATCTTGCGCCCTCCTACTGTTGACCCCGGGTTCTGGTTCAATGATGAAAATCTTGGTTTGATAAAAGTCAAAGCATCTGACAGAATATCGTACATGATTCAGGAGATTCACATGCGTGCTGTACTGTCTAAGACAGCATTCGCATTGACGCCCAGTCACGTGGTATCGTACTGGGTGATGTCTCTCATGTTTTTTGAAGGCGTGCACTGCTTGCGCAGCTTTTCCTCCAAATTTCTTCTTGCAAAGGAGGCAGAAGTGCTGAGCAGTTCGTTCTCCTAGTTGGGCAGTCTGGATTGCTCCATTCTCTTGCAAATATCGAAAGATCCAAGCATGCCATTCTCTCCATTCATGTTGCCTTGTCGCATATGCAGTTGCACGCTTGGAAGCTCTTTTGATTATACTTTTCCAGCTTCTGGGCTCATGCATCGTCCATCGATGCAGCTCATCCCAAGTTTCTGCTTGCCCATCGGGTACGCTTGGGTCTCCACTGAAACTTCGCAGCCACAGCAAGTCATCTTGGATTTGGGCATACCAGGATTGCTCTTGCTGGATGAGTGCCCATGTATGGTTTTGCCCTGTCCGGATAAGTTGTCCAAGGTATCTCAACCTAGAGACTCGAAGGATGTCTTGCCCATCAGGTACTTGGAGCATAGCTTTCAGCTTCGCCGCACTCCAGTCCACCGCAATTTTTCCGAAGTGCATGGTGGCAACTCGCTTGTAGATTTTGTGGAACCCTGCCACAACATGCGCTCTTTGTCTCTTGTTGCAAGGCTGCCATGTCGCCGAGTTAAAGGTAATCACACTGAGAACAAGTGAATCCAACAATTGCACTTTCTTATGGACAGGCAACCCTCTGTTGCAAAACAGCTGGGCTTTGTACTTGCTGATTGTATCGTGCGCCGCTGCAAATTTTTGCCGCAGATCCGGTGCAATATTGCCATTGAGTGCAATGACTGTGCCAAGGTGCTTGTACCTTTGTGTGATTTGCAATGGCTCTTCGACCAATGGTGTTTGAAGGATGATTTGGTTCTCGTGCATCTCAATGGCTCGCTTGATATTCAGAGAATGTTGTCCTCGAACATCAAGGAGAAGTTCGGTTTTCCCTCGCTTCATGTTCGGTCGCAATCCAGCACTTGAAAGCCTGTGAAGCACCATGGCCGAAATGCGTGGGATGTCAGCCCACAGCTGTTCAGCAGAACTGTGCATCGCCGCGAGGGCGATGTCATCTGCCCAGATAGGGAGAAGGGGTCCCACTGTCGCTGACTGGTCAGGCTTCGGGAAAGGACTATTGACCCCACTCCACTGCATGTTGAGATATGGAAAAACATGCAGAAGTTCATGTTCTAGCCCCCGAAGGATTTTGGATAGTGCAAATCCAAATGCAATATCCGCAAAGTTATCTCCTGGCCGACTGCCTCTGCGGGTTAGTGTCCAAACTGGAGAACCAACAACAGTGTACCAAGTACAGTTGTAAAATTCAGCGAGCAGGCTTTGCAGAAAAGGGTCGGCATTCGCTTCTTCCATGGCAGTTCTGCTTTCCAGGTGCTCTTCAAACTCCTCATATGACCCTTCCGGAAGGGCTAGGTTCTCAAAGAGTTCACGGGCACTTCGCTTGTCATTCAGATCTGGCGTGATGTGTCGTCTCACAAGTCTGTAAAACGCGTTTTGGACATCAATGAAGAGAAATGCCACCGAGTTCTTCTGCTTCATCCCTACTCGTTGAAAAAGGTGCAAGCAATGGGACGCTTGCGTAATGGAGTGGCCTCTCAAACCTCCCAATTGCATAGGTAGCCGTGTGGCTTCCATGACAGAATGCAGCTCTTGTCGGTAAATTCGGTGGAGTGATTTTCCTACGACAGACGACACAAACAACGACCGATAGTTGCTGCAGTCTGCTGGGTCTCCACGTTTGTAAGCCGGTACAAGGCGACCTCCTTTGTACAACGTCGCCTCTTGCTGAAAAACCGACTGTTTCAACAGCAATGGATAGAAAATTTTCGCCATCTGCTGCGGGATAGCAGCGAGGAGATCACCAGGTATCTGGTCCTCGAAGAAAGCCTTGTGGGTCGCAGTGCGCCTAAACGCAGCTTCGACTTCGATGGCTGTTGGCAACTGATCCCACGTCGGTATGACAGCTGGTATGGCCGGTCTCGTAGCTGTTCGAACAAGCAGTTCTTGTGGTGTGATGGCAATTCCGTCTTCTTGTTCAGAAAAATAAACTCGCCATCTTTCCGCAAGTTGTTCAGTCGTATGGATGGGGCTTCCATTCACATCATGAACAATTGGGAGAGGGAACATCATGGATGGTTTTTTCCGACTCTGGATTCCGAGCTGTTTCAAAGCTTCATGAAACTCCGTTTGTGACATTCGCATCGCTTTCGCAGCTAGATCAATCAAGGACGCTGTTCGATCGTGTTTCAGCGCCACTGTCAGACCTTTGGTGAGGTGGGCCACCTGTTTGCCAAGACTCCGTATGATCATGAGCGTTTGCAACGCAGGTTTGAGAATTCGCTTGTCATCAAGCTTGCATCCATGTTTCCATGCCCTCCATGCTTCTTTGAGTGAGCACAGTGCCAGTTACTGTTTTTTATTTCGCAAAGCTTGGCGACTTCGAAGTCGGTGGCTTCGTATGGTCCATGTTTCATCCTGGATGTAGCCTTTGCGGGGTCGGACACCATTGATTGGGAAGACCTCGGCCAGTTTATGGGAGGCCCAATCCGTCAACTGCGTGGCGTGTTCGTCCACACTGGTGGTCCACTCAACCTGCGGCGGGTCATCAAAAATCCTACTGAGATCCGCAGCTGTGGCCCTTTGCAACTTTTTTCGGTCAAACCCAGCCCATAAGCTATATTGATGTTTCGCTTGCAGGAAAATCGTGGTGTCACAGGCAAGTGGTGTATGATCAGTACCAGCATTTCCTGCGTCGATGTAGGGTTGAGGGTATGTTGCATGCTTTCCAGTTTTCCAGGAAACCGGCAGGAGCACATAGTCACAGCGAGCTTCCGCTCCATTGACATTACTTGTCCATGTCGCAGTGCTGCCTTGGTGGCAAGTTTCATACGTGCTGGGTGCATATGCATTAATCTGTTGCATCAAACTCAGCAATAGATCTCCTGCCACATTTTGTCGTGCCTCCAGCCCATGACTGCCAATGTGCGGCTCGCACTCAACATCAAAATGAGCATTTGCATCAATTCCGCCTATGAAATTAGGTATAATCGCTGTCCACTGCCGAAGTTCTCGTGCAAGCGTATCCCAGAACAGGTGCAAAACGTGCGCGTCACTGCCACTGTGCGGTGAATGTGCCGAGAAAAACAGGAAGTCGCTTCCTCGAAACCGTGCCTTCAGAATCAGAACTTCGGGGGTACTAAAAAGTACATGAATCTCTTTTTTCAAGAAATTCTCTTTGCCACTCTGTGGATCTGATCTTAACAGCCAGATCTCTGCGCCTCCTCTGCCTGAATTTGCTTGGGACACGATTCGAAAGTGCGTATTGGACGCAACACAGTGCGACTCTCTCGCTCGAGTTTCTTGCAAAAATGCAACTTGATGCCCACATGCTTGCAACTGCTCTCTCATGTATGTAACATGATGGGACCCATGACGTTGGTGTAGGCTGGTGACTACAGAAATGCGCACCTTTTTTGTGAACTCGCTGGCTCGTCGCTTTGTCTGCATCAAATGCTTCGGAAGTCGTCCTTCAGATGAGATGGCTGGTGCCAATTCTTGGATGCACAAACAGTTCTGCCACACTGGGGGCATATCACTCTTGCCTTTACTATGATGGCATGACATCCACAGCATTTCAATTGGTGCTCTTTTCCCAAACATGCTGGTGATGTACTCAGGTCTCAAACGATCAAGGTCGGGCAGCTTTTGCTGAACAACAAGCTTGGCCAGGGAATCTGCAATTTCATTGCCAAGTGTCCCTTGGTGCGCTCGCACATGCTTCCAGGTGACTCGCCCAGGACATTTGGCCGTTCTTGCAATGCATACTGCCCAGCAGCAGCCCAGCCCACATTTTCCGCATCAAAGCGGACTTGAAAGGTGCTCTGCACCGGCACAGCAAAACACCACTCAAGAGCACGCACGATTGCTGTCACCTCTGCAGCTCTAGCATTGGGCGTTTGGTGACCAATCCATCCAGGATCATGGGGGTCACATGCTACTGTGCCATAATCACAGTGCACACACCATTCAACTCCGCTGCTCACAAGGACAACAAACGCCCAGCTAGCACTCCTGACTGCTTGAGGCATATAGGACCCATCCGTGAAAATCTGAAAATGATCGTGCTCTTGTATCTCCCTCTCTTGGAGGTCATCAAAAGGCACAGTCAGATCTTGTGGGAGAATCTCCTTCAGCTTCAATTTCGGCAGCTTTTGCCTGTTCGGGAAATCTTGTAGAGCTTGTTGCAGAATGTCAAGATTCGGCATTGCAACCTGGAAATCCCAGTTGCAGATCTTCGCATCACCTATGCATTGCTCCAGGCAGATGGCTCGCCGCTCGCTCTTGGCTGTGGGATCCAGGTATTGGCTCAGCCGAAGCTCATATGGTGTACTCAGCAGCTCCGTTTCAGGCTCCAGGACATCAATGACGACTATCTTGTTCCCAATGCAATACCAGTCATCGAGGGCGTAAAGATTGCTGCTCAACCACCAAACCGGGTTCCCGGGCGGTGGGAGTCCATCAAAGGGGCTCCGCCAACGAAAATGTATGGGGCTCAACCCTATGGCACAAAACTTTCGCTCTCGATGCTGGAAAGGGCACACCTGCATCATCTTGCGGATCACTACATTCAACTGCAGGAGCCCAAGAGCCTCGTTGCGATGGATGGTGGAAAAAGAGTCTTGCTCCATCCCACGAGACGCGTTCTGTCGCCGCACAGACTCCACCATCGCTGTGGGGCGAGCCAGCAACTGCGTATTGGCATGTGCAATCCCATGCACATTGATGACCGGCGTGTCATCTGAGGTATGCTCCAATGCGCTGAAATGCCCCTCTCCAGCAACCACCGTGCTATGCACATCTCTAGCTCCATTCACCGCACGGTCACATCGCCCCACCGAATGGATGCGAATTGGAACCCCCGCAGCTTGAGCCGCACGCCGCAGCATATCCGGGGTGAGTGGATATATTCCCTCGTCCAACAAGACCCCCCGCACCGGCATCGGGAGCCCTGCCATGTTGCCCACACCTGAGCAGAACATGGAGCAAAGGTCAATCGCCGGTCCCTCTAGTGCTCCTCCCTTCGCTCCCGTTCGTGCGGCTGCAAACGCCGCTGACCACCTAGTGGATCGACGATGTGCAGGGTGGGTCGAAAAAGTCCACACTTCTGTCTGCTGGTTGAACCAAACCTTCCCCGCGTCTGGAAAAGCTACCACCTCTTCTTTCACCTGTTTTGTCGCCAACCATGTAAAGGCGGCTGCCGCGTCCAGCGGCCTAACTGCCGCTCCCGTCAGCCTTCTGATCTCATCCATAGCGAAACTGTGGTAGTCCCTACCAGCCACAATCCCAGCAGCGGCGCCAGTTCGAGCCGCGGCTAATGCCGCCAACCCACACGAAGGGTGTTGGATGCCCCCTCCGCCAATGGCCCCCCTTCTCCCTGACTCCCCGCACTGGCATTCTATGCCAGTCGTCCCCCCTCCTGGGGTCCAATGCGGGACGTCGTCCGGGGACTGCGTCCAATCCCTCGTCCTCCCCACATACAACGGATCAACGCAGTACTCGTCCGGGGCATAGTGGCTGGCGCTCCTACAGTGCTTAAGCACATCCTCCGTCCCGGAGAAATGTGCATTGCAGGACCCGCACCGAAACTGTCGGTGATGCGCCGCCCGAAAGTGGTCCTTGAGAGCCCGAAAACTCGCCAGCTCAATGCCACACATAACGCAAGCCACTTTGTCACCCGCGCCCCGATGGCGACAATCATACCCCGGACAGATGAAACGCGTCCTTCCCCGTGCCAAGCGCCAGCCCATCTCCACTTCGGAATAGGACCTCTCCCCTGGTCTAGCCGTGAGAGATTCCCATCCCCCTTCGCGCTCCCCTTCGATCACGTTTCCCTCATAGGTACGTGGCGTGGTCCTGTCTACGGAGTCCGAAGGGGACACCTCTCCATCTGGCTCAGCGGCATCAGGCCTAGGAGCTCTGGTATCCAATCCTGCGGGGGGTTCTGCAGGTGGGGCTTTTACTGGTGGTTGAAGTGGCGCTGATGGGGTTACCGAGGGAGATGAAGTAGTCTCCTCTTCTCCCTGTCCTCCTCCAACACCCCTATCACGCCACACGTTTCTTGAGACTCTCCCAAAATCATCACTCCGACCCGTCCAACGTACACCATCATCACCCTCAAACACACCCGCTACTCCCATAGTTAAACCAGGTTCCAGGCGCTCTCCGGCTGCATCTACTACTTACACCCCAAAAACGCATAAACCACCAGGGAGTTCAGAGTCTCCCGGGCTTAAAAAACCTCCCGCATGGAGAAGCACGGGCGGGTCGGTCTGGTCGATCTGGGCCTATGGTCTATGGAAGCGGGATTGACCCGTTCTCACCCCCTCCAGACCATTGAAGGACAGGTTGACCTGCAGTTCGACCTTAAAAAATCCTTAGTAAAACTTATATATAAGCATGGTTCTTCAGGTAAAAGCCCTTAAACCAATGAAACCAATGGCGTTAGTGAATCCTATGCCTTTATATTGGTGTTCTCAGAACTGAAATGGGCGCTGGTCTGCCCAATTGAGCTAGGGAGCATATCTCTCCAAAGGTCCCCATCCACGTGCACAACTACCCCAAGCATCGGATCTGGCCATGGCCAGAGTCCAACATCCCCAGATCAACCTGCCCTTCGACCTCCCGAAGTAGAACTTCCAATCACTCATGCCCCGTTTTGGTCTGCCCCACCTGGTAATGACTCATGACTGTAGTCATGAGAAAAACCACGAATCGTTAGACCCGTGATCTGCATCAGAAAAGACTTCCACCACCCCTTTGTGACTCCTGGCCCACTGGCTAAGAGATTTCACCGATGCCTGTCAGCTCCTATTCGATGGCCGTTGGCGTTGGCTGAAATCGAGTGCTTTTGAACAATTTTGGTTCGGCCAACCAAAGACACACCGCGGCAGGCCCTTCACCGGCCGAAACGGTCCGTCGGTCGGTCCGAGCTCCGCACCGTGAGAGACGGGGCGGAACTCGTCGAGCCATGACGGGGCGGAACTCGTCGCGGGACCAGGTCAGGTCAAAGCCGGTCCACCGGCTTTTGTAGTCTGGAATCCTGAAATCAGTTGATTTGAAGAAACAACTCTAAATCGATGGTTCTTGGATGCCTACCTGGAGTGTCAAAGTACCTCGGACAATGGTTACAAGTACCTGCCAGGGTGTTTTTATTTTTAATTTTTTAAACTAGGGTCATGTCCCATGTTCCAAGGTACTTGGAAGTCGGGTCCAGGAATGGTTAAAGTCTTGATAACTAGTTGGATGCAATTTCCCAAACATGTCGTGCGTAAGGCCCATTTAAAACTATTATACAAGATCTCTAGAGGTCATTTTAGGGGATTGGTATAAGTAATCTCAGAAGATAATCTCAGAATGAATCCAGTGAAGCTGTCACAAACCGCTTGGTTCTTTCTCCCTATGGCAGTTGGCGTTGGTTGGCGTGTTTGCATCCCTTCAAACAACTGTTTGGAAAACACTCTTTCTGCATACATCTAATACATATGTTCTACAAACTGGGGTGATGGTTCATTGAACATGAACAACCAATTTATGTATATATATATGTATAAATATATATGTGTGTGTGTCTTCCGTTGTTCATGCATGAGCTTCATGAACTTCTGCACCCTCTCTTTAGCGTCTCTGTTTATCCATGGGCAAGTCTGACGCAGAACCGAAGCGCACGATGAGCAGCGGCAGAAATGCTCAGGGCCCAGGGAACCCAACAAGAACTCAAGGGTCCAAGCTTTCCAACTTACAGTGGGCCATCAAAGGCACCCCAAGAAGTCCGACATAAACACCACCGAGCTTGGGTCACTTGTGCGAACCTCCGGTTTACCACTGTAGGACTCCGGTCCTTACCCTACAGGGTAATGTGATTGCTGTAGGGGGCAGCTTCAGGAAACTAACATAATAGAAACTCACATCTTTCCTCTTCCCCCACGCAACTCTGACTAGGCACTCCTTTGAGGATATAACCCCACCAAGCTAAATGAATAGATTCACACTATAGGCATGCCTTTCCCCACTTAGAGTACAAATCCAGTCGAAAAACCCTGTCGGTCCAGTCTCCAGGTCGAAAAACACACATCCTCTTTGAAAAGGTGTGTGGTGTTTTTCTTTCTGAGCAAAAGAAGCTAGTAGTAACAAGTGCCACGCTACTAGTAACAAGTGCCACGCTAGTAGTAACAGGTGCCTTACTAGTAGTAACAACTCCATGTACTATAGGCAACTCAGGTGACTCCTGTTACTACTAGTAAGGCACCTTGTTACTCAGAGTTGAAGCTATAACTCCATGTACTTCAAACGAGGTCCGGCCACGAGTCACGACCTTTTTGGTGTTCAAACTCGGAGGACTGCCTGGAGGCTACCTGTTAGATATACCACGTACCGTACCTTCCGTTACAAAAGAGAGGTAGCTTAACCTGTACACATTGTCTAAAGTATTTTGAGACTCCAGGTAGCTTGTAAGTCTCACCTAGCCTTCACAGGAATGAAATTGTACCATGACTGCAGGTCAACAACTACCACTTGTCCAAACACCTCCAAAAGAAACCTGTATATGAACCGTGAATTTATAACAGTTACTAGAAGTTATGAGGTGAGCTGCAAGTGTTAACATTTACAGGTTCAAGTTATAACCATTTACAAAACTGGTTGTAAGCTGTTATAACTACTTATAACTACTTATAAGTATGCTAAATGGTTGTAAAACTTAGCATAGATGATGTTAAGTAGTTATAAAGTTTATAGAACTTATGACTTCAAGTTGCTAAGTGTTGTAGAAGCTACACTATAGTATATCATGTTATACCATACTTATACGGTATATATAAGTATGTTATAAATACACTTACAATGCCTAATAACCTTTATAAACCCACGGTTCATCCCTACTGGACTGATACATGTATTATCCAGATTTCAATTAAGACAGGCATGATTATGGTCAAACTAAACAAACCCTTTCTACATGTTGATCCAGATTTGGTAAAAATCAGCCTCGCTCAGTAAATGGCTTCGCTCTCTATCTATATATATATATGCGCTAATTTCATTATGTCAGATTGCACCACTGTCATCACGCAAAACAACTGACTGGTGCTTAGTAGGAAAAAAGGGAATGAGCCCCCAATAGAGATTCTATTGGATCCAGCCACCCTCATTCCCTGCTTTCGACGCACCAGTCAGACAATCAGAAATACGCAGAAAGACGAGGACTTCATCCACTTCACCGACTGAGGACTTCAGCCCCTTCGACCGTTTACCGTTTTGGTGGTGTCCAGTGGCCCGGACTGCCAGGACTGTGAAGCCGTCCAAGTGTTGAATGCAAAGACATGGCCGCCATGAACCGGTCAGACGGTCATGGTTTTATCCATTTGGACAGGAGAAATCCGGAGAACACCAATGTCAGTGTGTGTGTTTTTGCCATCAACACTTGGTCAACAGAGGAAAATCCTCACAGTCACGTAGATGGAATGTCATGTCGAATTACATGTAAGAGCCAAAGAATCTTCCTCTCGCTAGCAATTTGAGGATCGATGATTCAATCTCAAAAGATTCTTCCTTGCATCCAGCCCCAAACGCACTAGATCCTCCGTGAACCCGGTGAATACATCACATTGAGGGTGCACCATAGCGAGTTGGGGGGTTCTTTTTCCGCCACAAACGAAAGGGTTGTCTCCCCACTCCCAGTTTTGAGGGGTACTATGCTTGTACGTGGCTGTTGACCGTCGATGAACCACAAACAACTATACCCGAGAAGTCCGGTTCGACTACTTGGCACCTCCCAAGTAAAGGAAATTCCTATAGACTCGGGTCACCCAAAGATCATGTTTAAAGCAGTTGGACTTCCAGGGAGTATGAAGAGTTTTGACCCATCCAGCCTTTCCAATGGGTGTCCAATGAAGACCTCGCCTAAATAGTGTGGGGCCAGTGTGGGGTATTGTGGGGTTGTCCAGCCAGGTGATCCCGTAAGGAAACTACTGATATTCCCTCAGATGTTCTTGGAACGACAAAGACCAAAACCTTTCTCTTGTTGAGTGGTGACCTGGTGAGGGTAAAAAAAAAAACAAACACAGTCCATCACAATCCAAATGGTTTTTGCAGGTTCTCCACTGACAGGTACAGCAAGTACAGCACCCTGCTTGAGATCCACTTGGGACTCCTGAGCCGTGTTTCTGGACACAATTTTTTTTTTCAAATTTCCCAGCTAGGAGCGAAAATCGATCCTTTCACGAAGTGACCGTGGACCCATTGCTTGTACACGAGTGGGGGCCTTCCCCATCCACCAAGCAGTACGTCCGGGCTCGTCAGGCGATGGGTGAGGCATTTGTAAGGCACCTCTGTCCACTGGCGGCCGAGCAAGGCATTCAGGTCCACAAAGTCTAAGCGGTTCGCTAAGACCAAAGCACGCACGTACCTGGGTGAAAAGTCGAAGAAAAGTCGCATGAGAGAGGGTGATGATGGAGGCGATGATGGTGGTGATGAGAGTGGTGACAGTGGTGATGGTGGTGGTGATGGAGGTGGTTGTAGCGGTCGTGATGGTGGTGGCGAGGATGGATGATGTGGTGATATATACATATATATATATATTACCAACAAATTAAAGGATCGGATAACCCCACATATGAATCTTTACGAATCTTAAGTTTCTAAAGCACAAAGCAGTCAGAGTCTCAATGGATCGGATAACCCCACATATGAATATTTACGAATCTTAAGTTTCTAAAAGCACAAAGCAGTCAGAGTCTCAATAGCTTCTACAACATGGCCTTGTCAGGAATTATATCAGAATTACACAACAGAGGGGTGGGAGAGAGGTGTGGGAGAGTAATGTGCACAGCGGATGTACGAGGTATTGTGCAGACATGTGTGTACAGCCACAACTAGCCGAAGTAAAACCCCATCGCTCTGCCGACGTAAAACCCTATAGCCAAGCTCTTTTTCATCGCGCAGACGAAAGCAGGTCGTGTTCGTGAACGTCATGAGTATTACATGCAAAAGACGTCATAACCGTCTGTAAAAGTGGAGACGAAAGATTTTGTTTGTCACTGCAGAACGTAAGCACATCTGTCAGCAGACAGGCCGCTCAGAGAGCCGTATTTCGTGGCAGGCGCAGCACTTTGTGAACCTGCGTGTGCAGATTTTGTGGCAGGTGCAGCACTTTGTGAACTTCGAGGTGCAGATTTCGTGGCAGGCGCAGCACTTTGTGAACCCTCATGTGCAGATTTCGTGGCAGGTGCAGCACTTTGTCAACCTCCAGGTGCAGATTTCGTGGCAGGCGCAGATTTCGTGGCAGGCGCAGCACTTTGTGAACCTCCATGTGCAGATTTCGTGGCAGGTGCAGCACTTTGTGAACCTCCAGGTGCAGATTTCGTGGCAGGCGCAGCACTTTGTGAACCTCCATGCGCAGATTTCGTAGCAGGCACAGCAATTTGTGAGCCTCCATGTGCAGATTTCGTGGCAGGTGCAGCACTTTGTGAACCTCCATGTGCAGATTTCGTAGCAGGCGCAGCACTTTGTGAACCTCAATGTGGAGATTTCGTGGCAGGCACAGCACTTCTTGTGAACCTCCATGTGCAGATTTCGTGGCAGGCACAGCACTTTTTGTGAACCTCCATGTGCAGATTTCGTGGCAGGCACAGCACTTTGTGAACCTCCATGTGCAGATTTCGTGGCAGGCGCAGCAATTTCTGAACCTCCATGTGGAGATTTCGTGGCAGGCACAGCACTTTGTGAACCTCCATGTGCAGATTTCGTGGCAGTTGCAGCACTTTGTGAACCTCCATGTGCAGATTTCGTGGAAGGCGCAGCACTTTCTGAACCTCCATGTGGAGATTTCGTGGCGGGCACAGCACTTTGTGAACCTCCATGTGCAGATTTCGTGGCAGGCACAGCATCTGGGGAGCTGGAAGCTGAGAACTGGCGACTTTGTAGTGCAACTTTAGTACGCGGAGCAATTTGTGAGCTGGAAGCTGAGAACTGGCGTCATTGTAGTACAATTTTAGTACGCGGAGTATCTGGCAAGCTGGATGATGAGAACTGGCGACTTT